CCCCCGCACCCACCTGCACTAGCTCGGGCCCAATCTCCTCGTCCAGCTGGGCGAGCGCCCCCCTCAGCAGGTCCTGCCGCTGCTGCGCCGTCCGCATCGCGCCCGCCGCCAGCCGCCACCACGCGTAGCTGGCCTGCAGGCCGGTGCGCCCCTTTGCGAGCTCGCGGCCGAGCTGCGTCTCGCTCGGCTGCAGCGCAGACGCTGCTGCAGGACCCGGCTGCTTCCCCTCCTCCACCTTTCCGTCCTCTCGCTCCCTCTGCTGCTGATGATGCTGATGCGCTCCGCAATCTGGGGTGGACGTGGGCCGCAGCATCAGGAACCGCGCCTCCGACGCCGCCAGGCCCGCCCCCGGCCCGCGGCCCGCCTCGGACGGCGGCGGCTTGGGGCGGCACTCTGGCAGCACCGCCTGCGCGTGCGCGCCGACCCTGATAACTCCCATTTCGTCCTCGTCCGAGCTCCTGCCGCAAGGTGAGGGTGGCACGACAGATTTCAACATCAGACGCAAAGCGGGCAAGCGTCAGCACGCGAAGCTGCGGAGGGCGCGGCGCAAGCCAATGCAGCGCCTGTGACCCCATGACTTGCGACTCGCCCCCTCCCCCCGGGCGCGCTCACTCGGACGGCGTGTCAGACTGCACCACCCGCGGCCGCGTGCTGCGCTCGCTGCGCGCGCGCCGCTGCGGCGGCGGCGCCCTGGCGCCGAACAGCGGGTACAGCTCCAGCGGCACCGCCACGCACGTCGCCGCCGTCGCACGCGCAAACCCTTCTTTGTACCGCGTCGCCAGCGCGCCCTCTGCTGACGTCACCGGCTCATAAGGCTCCTCGGCCAGCCCCAGCGACGCGCCGCGCAGCCAGGCGACCATGCTGCGCAGGCGGTCCCCGGGCACCGGGTCCGGCACATCGGGCGGCGGCGTCCGCTGCGGCGTCGAGCGGTGCGAGCGCGCCTGCTCCGCGAGGCGCGCGGAGTGGGGCGGCTGCGCGCGGCGCTTGGCGAGCGGCGCCGCGGCGGCGAGCTGCGCGCTGGATGCCGTGCGCTTCGGCGGGCTCGACCGGCTGCCGCCGCCGGCGCCGCCTCCGGAGCTGTGTGGCCGCTGTGCATAAGTGTGCTGCTGCTGGTGCGGCTTGCGGTGCAGCTGAACGTGGGGGGCCGCCGGCTGCGGCCGCTGCCTGTGAAGCGCCTGCTGCTGCTGCTGCTGCTGCTGCTGCTGCTGCTGCTGCTGCTGCTGCTGCTGCTGCCGCTGCTGCTGTGGCCGCTGCTGCTGCTGCTGCGGCAGTGATCCATGCCACTGCACCGGCATCTGCCTGTGCTGCTGCATAAGCAAGTGCTGCTGCAGCGCCCTCAACGATTGATACTGCGCCGATGCGTGTGCCGGCTGCTGGCCGCGCGCCAGCATACTCATCAGCTCCTGCTGCTGCTGCATCAGCAGCAGCTGCTGCTGCCGCTGTTGCTGCGCGAGCGTCGCCTGCGGTGCGGCCGCGGCCGCCTGGCGGGCGCGGTGCTGCTGCTGCTGCTGCTGCTGCTGCTGCTGCTGCTGTTGCTGCTGCTGCTCCAGCTTCTCTCGCTCCTGCTCCTCCTCATAGTGCCTCACCAGGTCTGCCATGAAGTCCAGGAAGCCCCTGATCCGCGCCTGGTACACCTGCCGCATCTCCGGCGGCGCGAGCAGCGCGTCTTCCGGCGGCGGCGCGGCGCCGCTGCCAGCGGTCGTGGCCGCGCGGGACAGCTCCCACCAGACCGCGTCGGCGCTGCTGCTGTCGACGCCGCCATGCGCGACCACGGCCTCGTAAAGGAGGTACAGGTCCACGATCGCGCCGTGGGGCCCGCCCAGGGGGCAGCGCCAGCCGGGCAGCGGCAGGAGCCCTGCGGTGCGCGCGTGCGGCGGGAGGGCCGCGGTCGCGCTCGAGGCGGGGATCACGTGGACGGCCCGGCCGGATGACATGCGCGGCATGTGCGCCCTGCTTACACACATATGCGCATGTGTGCGCGCCGTGCGGCGGCAAGTAAAAGCAGCGGTTCTCTGCGTCGACAAATCGAACACAAGAGCAGACTGCGCGCACCTGCATTGCGGCAGTAGCGGCCTGGGCAGCACAGGCGGGGCAGGAAGGGTCGGCAGGGGCTCAGCAGCATGCAGCAGGGTCAGGGAGGAAGGTGTGGCAGAGCGGCGGCAGCGCATGCGTGCCCCGCGGTTGCCCCGCCAAGTCAACCAGCGCGTGCAGCGGCTGGGAGGTGTGACCGCTTCTGACTTGCCGCTGCGGCGCCTCGTGTATGACTTGCTGCCCTGCCGGCACAGCAGCTAGACCCGCAACGCGATATGCGCACCGTAGTAGTGATCAAAGTCGACCCGCGTCAGTGTGTACAGCGGCGTATCCATGTTCACGCAGCAGGGCACTGCAGTTGCGACGATACGCGCCGCCTGCAAGGTGACCGGCGCTGCTTCGACGAATGACAGAATGCCTCAGCAAACGGTTGGCGAGGCCGAAATGCTGGACGGAGGGCCGTCGAGAGGAATCACCATCACTGCGCAGTGCATTGTGGCTCCCTCGAGCCACGGTCTACGCTCCCGCCTCGGGTGCCCGTCCTCGTGATACACGACGTTTTGATCAATTTGAGGGGCAGTTGCTGCCTGTGCTCTGCCCCGTTGTTGTGGGATGGTCGGCGCGTGGAACGTAAAAAAACGTGGCACTGTATGGACGGAAGCACTACAAAACCCTTGACAACCTTTGAAGCGGCATGCAGGCTCAGCGGTTTCGGGTAGGCACTGCGTTCGGCGATTTTCAACCCTCCGGGCATGCGCCAAAACCCCAACACTGCTCGGCAGGACCCCGTCAGGGCTGCGAAACTGGCCCATCATGCTGAATAGCTGGGAAAGCAGCTGCAGAAAGCTTGTTTCAAGGAGTGGTGTAATTGCTACAAAAGTATCCGATGCGCAAACGGCCTGGCCAGTCATCGCCAGTCATGCCCACCCTGTACCCTGCAAAAGTACCGTGTACTCACCGACCTGTGCCCATAGCACACAACAAAGTGAGGTGCAATTACAATTTGAGGCTTTTGATGTGTCACATGTGGCAGTCTTATGCGAGGCTGCTGCGCATAGAGAGCAAGCACGGCCACGAAATCGCAACCGCACGACCTGTACTCACTTGGTCGGCCAAGTGAAGTCGTAGTAACATATAAACCATGAAAATTTACTGCTTGGGCTTTTCACGTCCACACAGATACCAGATCGGGTGGAGGAGCCAGTGACCGCACTGCAAGCAGCTGTAGGTACGGTATACGTGGCAGAGTTGGGCGGAAGTCGGAAGACACCGCAAGTATCCGACACTAAGTCATTGAAGTGAGTCAGTCTTTCCGACACCAAGCTGCTTGGTGTCATTCGTGCTGTCACCCGAAAAGGGACAACCGTACTGGTGCGGGGGCAGTGGTGGCAATACGGCAAATACTGCAAGTGAGCAGGCAGGTGGGGCGTGCCAAGCCGGCACTCATGGGTTGGGCTTAGGCGGCCGATGACTACGGTCCAATCATGCTGCTGCCCAGACAGTGCACGCAGTTGTGCATCCCATACATTGCAGTGAAAGCGTCCAGATGGGCACGCCGTGACGTCGCTGTCGGTGCGCAGCCGTGCATGCACAATGTACGTGGTACAGTACTCAACTGCCCTGCTCAAGCGATTGAGGTGCGTGGTATTGTGAAATCGCATGCTGGTGGAGCCGTGCACGAGGCACTTCAAGAATATGTCCGCTTTATTAGTCCCACTCGAGACCCTTGATATTGGGTGGGATGCGTCAAGAGACAGGTGTTACCGCCTGGTTTACACAACAACCCCGGCTCTAGCTTCATGCATTGCTCACCTTCATTGCAGGTGTTGAAACCCAATAAGGATCCCAACCAGCCAGCTGAACAGCTTGGGGCATTTAGGTTTCTTTATTTCATGCCATACAAAAGGGCCCGCAATGAGTGAAAAGCAATCTTAAGTGGAGGTGTAATCTCAAAGACCCAGTGCTCCCTTTCCTGTAAATCCCTTCAAATACGTGTCCAGTAGCAGCGCTGCGGGTCCTTGCCCCATCAGGGGCTTTTTGGCATCGCACATGTATGCGGGCAGCGAGGACGAAGCGTTGTTCAGTTTGAAAGAACAGCGGTTGCCGTTTGCAACGATGTAAGGGGAGTAAGCCGGAAAAGCTGTATTTGTGGTGGTCATGACGTACACAAACGTGTCCTTTGAGGGGTCGGTAGGGTGGAGGGCCAGGTAATACGTAGCATCAAAGCCCCCAAGGCTGCCCTTGTAGAAGAGCCCTGAGACCCCCAAGCGGCGGTTGGATGGGTCCTGGACCACCACCACGCCTTGCGCGTACCGCAGGCGCCCTTTCAGCGCCGCGACGGCGCCACCGACCGACCCAAAAGGCGTCGTGCCCTTGGGCTCGGGGATGCGCGTCGACGTGTTGAGCATGCGCCGCACTGTCTCCGGCTTCAGCCCGAGCCGCTGTGGCTGAACCGTCAGCGCGCGCAGCCAACGCGCCATGTCGCCGACGCTTCCCTGGATGGCACCAGACCCCGAAGAATACCCAAAGTCGCTCCCTGGCACGGACGTGAGGGCCGAGCGGCCGGTCTTCGCCCAGCGTCCCGGGGCGCCTGCGCCGGCGGCGGCTCGGGCCTTGGGGCTCAGAGCTGCAGCGTTGACCGTTCCTGCTGTGTAGGTGGCGCTGCCGATGTACCCCTTGTCGAATGCATACATGCCAAGTTCCACAGGGTTCAGGTAGGCGACATACGAAGGGTAGGGCACTGTGTTTGCATAGATGCCATCCAGGCCGCCTGAAACGTCCAAGAAGGTGCTGTTGAGGCCGAGGGGCTGGAAGATGTTGCGCTTGAAGTACGCGGAGATGGGCAGGCCGCTGACGTGTTCCACAATGTGAGAGGCTATCTGAAATGCCTCGTTGCTGCGATCCACCAAACGCGATGATGCGAGAGCAGCTCTGTGAGTCGAGGCCCGTTGTGTGCAAGCCGCACGTGCGCACACAGCGTGCTGCTCTCTTCAAGCAAATGATTCCGGGATGATGGCATGCAGCATGTTGCAAACGCACACGCTGGATGTGGTGGTTCCTCTCAACGCGCACCTGTAGTGGTGGCCCGTCCCGGGTACAAAGTCAAAGGGAGCCAACAGGAACCCCGCATTCCTGACCGTGGCGGTGGGATCGGCGGCCCCGAATATGCTGGAAAAGAACGCGTCCGGCGCGTAAGCAGGCATGCATGCGGGCTGGTCTTGGGTGCAGTACTTCAGCTGCCAAGACCCAGGAGGGTACTCGCAGTTGCCTGGGAAGGTGAGGGCAGGGAAGGACACAGAAAAACTTTGAGGCATGCTTCAAAACCACAATGTATTAGGTCCGCTCGCGTGCACTCTGGTCACCGCAACAGCCGACTAACTGGCGGGGCAGCCTCGGCATCTCTTGGAACTTTCAGAAAGCAGATCAGACCCCAACCGCCGAGAGTTTGTCACACCTGCATCAACGATGCCCCCGGACATGCGGAGCAGTTGCTCAATGGTGGGCGGAGCCAGGCACGCCCCCACAGCAGTGCCGTTGGCGTTGGCCAGGCGCGGGCACCAGTTGCGGGGCAGGCCCAGGGCCGTAGTGTTGGCGTAGCGCGTGAACGGCTGTGTGACGTCCAGCTTGCCCCGCTCGTGAAGCTGCCAGATGCTCACTGTTTTGAATGTTTGCAGTGCGCATATATAGAGCGTGTGTGTGAAAGGGAGACAGAGGGTGTTGACCTGGGCATGAGAAAAATGCATCATCATTGTGAAGAGACTCCAGCACCAATGTGTTGTGATGTTGGACGGCGTGCGGAAGGAGCCAATGTAAGATCAGCCGCGTGACCCCACACAAACACCGACATCAACGCTTTGTCTGAAACAGTGTGTGTGCACCTGCTGTGAACAGCTTTGAATTGGATCCAATGGGTGCAATGTGCTCCACCTTGAGCGGCACTTCCAGCTCTGGGACGGCCATCCCATGCGCTTCTTCCAGCACCACCCTGCCACCTGTCACCACCAAGAAGTGCAGAGATGGGGGGACGATTGATCATTCGCAGGCCCAGGGCCTGGCACAGAGCAGCACCAACTCGAGCCCATAAGCCAGTCGCTTTAAGAGCATATGAGCAGCCACGCTCTTTGCATGTGCACACACCTTCCGTCACAATGGTGATGCCTGCCCACAGCCTGTCAGCGGCTACCTGCCGGGCAAGTGCGCTTGCCGCAGCGCCACGCATGTCGACCCGTAAAGGAGGCTGCGCTGCAACAACCCCTGCCACCACACCCAGCAGCAGTACCAAGCAAATATGCCTCGGCATTTATGCTATGTGTGCGCTCGTCGGATAGATCGTTTGCGGCGGTGCTGAATACCAGTGTTTACAAAATAAAACACGACTCCAACACGATGTATCATGTGTATGAGGTACGGCGGTCGTGCAAGGACCAGGTGTGCTGGGGCAGTGCAAGGCCAGCAGAACGTCACACATGCGATAGCACCATGATGCGTGACGTAGGGCTGCTGAAAGGGAACTTCATGTGTGCTATGCTTGCTAAGGTCGAAGGAGACTGGAGATAGCTCGAGAAAGTGTCCGCTAGGAATGGCAAAGCCTCGCCCTCGCAGCTAGGACCTAGTCGTCCATCCTCAGCTTCTGCTTGAGCAGGGGGGCCTTCCCCAGCCTTCCCAACAGTCAGGGGGAAGTCACCATTACCGGTGCAGGTGGATGGAACACGACATGATTATGTATCAATAGTGCTTCATGTACAAGAGGCAGCTCGGCCAGTGAGCAGAAGTCATCACGTGTCAATGCGGCAAACCCACGACGCATGTGCACGCGGGCACCGAGGCATGCACCACCAAGCATCACGCGGCAAGCCAAAATCCAGTTGTTATTGCAAGTGCTCAAATACAAGCAGTAACTCCTTGAGCTGTCCTTCAAAGTTCACAAAAAATTGATACCCGCAGCCCCTCCCCCAGGTAATCACCGACGTGCTCTGGCAAAATCAGCAAATCAACGAACAGCCCGGAGCTACACCCCCAAGATGCCTTTTCCAGTAAACGCCTTCAGATACGAGCTAAGAACCAATGCAGCCGGAGCCCCCGAGCCTCCCAAATCCTTCGCATCGCACATGTAAGCCGGCAGCGGCGCCGCAGCGGAGGCGCCCGGTGCCGCTCGGCCAAGGGCGGCCGCCGCCGCTGCCGCAGCGTTGAATACACACGCGCTGTTCGCACCCTTCCCGCTGCGCGATATGAAGGGCGCATAGGGCTGGACCAGGGCGTTCGTCATGCTGATGACGTAGGCAAGCACGTCCTTCGAGGGGTCTGTGGGGTGGAGCGCCAGGTAATATGTGGCATCAAATGCGCCCAGGCTGCCCTTGTAGTACAGCCCTGACGCCCCCAAACGGCGGTTTGAGGGGTCCCGGACAACCACCACGCCCTGCGCAAACCGGAGCCGCTTCAGCACCCGGTCCATTGCCGAGAGGGTCCCGAGCGCCGTCTTCTGCTTGGGCGCAGGGATCTGAATGGACACGTCGAGCATGCGGCGCACAGTATCTGGCTTGAGGCCCAGCCGCTGCGGCTCAGTTGTAAACACGCGCAGCCAACGCGCCACGTCGCCAACGCTTGATTGAATCGCCCCCGCACCCCCGGCCCAGGCGAAGTCGCTGCCCGGGAAGCTCGGGGCCGCCGCGCGCCCCGTTTTGGCCCACCGGCCGGGCTCGCCCGCTGTCGCGGCGGCGGTTGCGGCGGCGCCGCGGCTGTTCCTGCCGAGCGCCGCTGCGCTCAGCGTGCCGGCCGCATATGATGAGTTTCCGATGTACTGCTTGTCTGTGGCCGGCTGGGCGATTTCGACAGGGTTGAGGTACGCGACATATGATGGGTAGGGCACTGTATCCATGTAGACGCCGTCCTGGCCGTTGGCGATGTCATAGATGGTGCTGTCGAGGCCGAGGGGCTTGAAGATGTTGCGCTCGAAGTAGGCGCCCAGCGGCAGGCCGCTGACGTGCTCCACGACGTGCGATGCCAGGATATAGGCCTCGTTGCTGCGCGCGACAAACGCGGGGTGGGAGCGAGAGGGGTATCTCAGCGACGGCTTCCATTTCTCGTGGTGCGCCCAGCACGTGAACACCAACCCAGTGCTGCCGCCCAGACCCAGATGTCAGCGCCAGGTGCGTGTTCTTGTGACACGAGCGAGGTGCTGCCCATCCATGACTCCCAGGCTCACCTGTAGTGATATTGTTTGCCCGGTAGGAAATCAAATGGCGCCAGCAGCACGCCGGCGGCTTTCAGCACGTCCGCTGCGCTGGCGTCGCCGGCCACACTGGCGACAAAGTTGTCGGGCGCAAAGGCTGGGGAGCACTTCTTCTGGGTCTCGAAACAGTACTTGAGCTGCCACGAGCCGGCTGGATACTCGCAGTTGCCTGGTTGAGGGTTTGGCGCGAGCGCGTGGGTGGCAAGCCGCAGGCGACCCTGACACAAACAGGCAGACCTGGAGTGAGGATGTGGAAGAATACACAGCAAGTGTGTTTATGCATCAACAGGCACAAGCCCTGGGCCCCAAAACACTCAGTCGTGTTCTCATAAGCCAGGGCGCTTTCTGCAGTACTGTGCCGTGCGACGGCGCTCAACTGTGTGCAACGCCCCAAGAGCTGCTCACTTGCATCCAAGATGCCACCAGACATGTGCAGCAGCTGCCCCAACGTGGGCGGGGTCAGGCACGCCCCCACAGCGGTGCCGTTGGCGTTGGCCAGGCGCGGGCACCAGTTGCGGGGCAGGCCCAGGGCCGTGGTGTTGGCGTAGCGCGTGAACGGCTGCGTGACGTCCAGCTTGCCCCGCTCGTGGAGCTGCCAGACGCTCACTGCCTCGGCGGGGCGGGGAGCGGCAGATGGCGCGGGTGTATATCAGGAGGGCCGCGCAGAGGATCTGATCAACATTGCCAATTGGCACGACGGTATGCTTTGCAAGGCATACGGTCGTGCGTTTGTGTTGACCAGCAGCTAACCCCCAAACGACGGCCCAGGACATCCCATCCCAGTGTCTCTACCCGTTTGCGGGGTTTACGATCCCCTCGCATCCTGGTTCAGCGGCCCGCACCTGCCGTGAACAGCTTTGTGTTGGACCCAATGGGCGCAATATGCTCGACCTTGAGCGGCACCCCCAGCTCTGGGACAGCCATCCCATGCGCCTCTTTGAGCAGCACATCATCACCTGCAGGGTTGTGAAGTGTACGGTCGAAGGGGGGCGAGTGAGAGTGTTGGGGCGTGACTTTGCAGCAGGGTCTACGTGCTTCGAACATCAACCGCCACTTGACCATGGCCGGCCTGACGCCGCCCAACCCAAAACTGACGTCCAACGCAGTTGTAATAACTGTGCTCGTGTGTAACGAGGCGCACCCTCTGCCACGATGACAATGCCTGCCCATAGCCTGTCGGCGGCAATCGTGCTAGCTAAAGAGGATGCTGCCGCGGCACGCGGGCCCGCCTGCGGGTCAAGCCGGGCAGCAAGCGCCCCTGAGGCTAGAAATAGAAGTATTACTAGGCATATGCGTGCCGCTCGCGGCATTGTATGCCCGGGCAACGCGGGTTGAAGAAGGGATGGGCGAGATACGGTACAGCACAGCCGGGTGAGTCGCAGATTTATAATATGTAGAACATATTCAGCTCTCAGCGTGCAAGTACGGTTGCTCAAGAGAGGCCTGAACCGCCTGGCACCACGAGTGACGATCGGTCACACTGCGATTGGTTGCGTGGCGTGCGCAACTTCCCTGCCTCGGTGGCTGTCCAGCCACCCAGTCATTGCAATAAGCACAGGCATAGGTACTCGTGTGTTGGCACAGGGGCCCCGCCCGTGTGCCCCCTGGTGTAACGTAGCCGGGCAATGCACTGTCCGGGAAGTACTTTGTGGTGCAGCTCACTTTTTCCGCTCCGAGCGTACGTCAAGGCTGTTTTGCTTGCACCACTGCACATTTTCAATGAACACTTCAGCAATATCAATGGAGTTTTATGGGTGACGCGAGGAGCACAGGCACAGAATTCAGGTTAGGATGGCGAGCACGCAACGCAGTGGGACCGAGCAGGAATGTACGCTGCGCCAGGTGCGGATAAGCACAGGCGAGAAGTGCCTGCTGCATAATATGGAACATCACTTCACATCACGCTTTGCCAGTCTCAAGAGTATAACCCTGTGGAAAGGGGGAACCCCTGGATTCTGGAGGGGGGTGAACCCTGAGCTACAAGGGCGGAGGAGATGTTTCAGGCTGCGGTTCAGCCTGGTACCAGTCAAAGGGCGCACACTTACTTCGTAGGAGAGTTAGGCAGGCTTATATTCAAGCGAAGCGATGACAGAAGCGGCTGTGCAGGTCGATGGGGGCATTGCTTCTCATGGCAGCACAGTCTTGCTTCGCGAGAGCGAAGCAGGCGACGCATAGAAGCCCTGCAGCATCTGGGCAGGCATGCATGGTCCTCCAAAGCTTGTAGGCAGGCAAAGCTGGGGCACGTGCGTGTCGCAGCACGCAAGGCGCAGCCTATGTTGTCTGTTGTGAAAGAGATATCTGCATGAGGAGGTTCTCGTAGCAATCATGTGGGAAACAAGTAAAAAGTGCGGTGGCAACTGACTCGTTGGGACCACCGAGCAAGGAGATGGGGTGTGTCCAGCACAAAGCTCCAGTTCCTGCACCAACGGTCAGGCAAGATGAGGTAATGCCACATTGCTGTTTGTTTTGTCGCAGGCAAGTATCCTAGAGTATGTCCATGTGGGCTACTGTGATACACGTGTCGCGCCGAGGGTGCTGTGGTCCAACCTAGTCAAACTTTGACCGCCCCGACGACCGCGGCATTTCCCTGCGGTCCATATGTCTGCTTTGCCATAGTTATTGTGGCACCGAGGTGACTTTTTTGAACGACTCTGTGGGGTGTTCCAAACAATGCGTCTGCTTGGGGCTGCGCTGTGCGTGGAGTCGTTTCACGCCATGTGGCACGTGGTGCTTGCTGATGCACCCCGGCATTGTCCAGGTCAGTTGCTGCTGGCCAGCAGCACCCTGTTACTTTGTCTCGTGAATGTATCTTTTGGCATTTGCCTTCTCTCTTCCAAGGCACTCAACGTGATCTGGTGCCCCGCATCCGTCACGCCGGAAGAAGGGGTTCTCGGCAACCTCAACATCTATCAGAGTGAGCTGCCTGACAGTCACAAGCCACAAACGACCGGTAAGCCCTCGCAGCACGGCATGCACCACGGAGTATGATCGATCACTGTGTGCTCGCATCAAAAGAGTATTAAGCGAGTTACGAGGCTCCTGACGCCCGTGGTGGCCGAGCGTCACTCGACGCAAAGCGGGCTCACTCGACTGCGCCGCAGAGCGCGTCATCAGCATCAACGCGCTGATTCAATGGCGCATTGCACACTCATGCACCATTTCGCCAGGGCATGTTGGAAGAGGCGCTTCCTGTGGCGGCGGGTGTGGCAGTGGCGCTGCTTCCCTGTTTGGCTTTCGGCGGCCTGGCCGCGTTCCGGGGCTCCGCAATCCTTGGCGGCGGTGAGGGACGCTCCTGCACGAGGGGCGACTGGACATGGCTGGGTGGGCCAGGCAGAACTCGACTGGCTTGTGTTTACGTTTGAAAACCTCTTGGAGTGTTTTATCTGCCGTGCAGCCATGCTGGAGTGCAGGGTTTTTGAAGCAGTGGCATCACTCCCTCCTCGCCGTGCACCCCGTTGATATTCGATATCAACACCACCCTGCAAAACCGCGGCCGCTCCCCCACACCACATCAAACAGAGGAATCTGGCTTCTTCAAGGCTTTTGAGGAGGGGAAGACAGAGGAGGAGGCGCTTGCAGTTGCCCAGGGCGGCCAGCCGACCATTCACACACCCTACGAGCCAGTGCGCATGCGCGCGGTCGCAGCGCCTGCTACGCAACGGCCCGTGGCGCATGCAGTTGTAGAGAGCCGTACCTCGAGCTCATTGCATGGGTTTGCAGCCAGCCATCTTCGGTGGTGTAACCAATAAACTTGAGCAGGAGCTTGAACCTGTCTAGGCAAGTCCATGTTTTGTGTTTGATCCGATTGAGTGTGCCCCATTCGTTGTCCTCGGTGTATTTGTGAATCTTGTGTTTTCCCAGCGACCTAAGGAGGGGCCTTGAGCGCCAAGGGAATTGCGTGCAGCCTCGCACGCTTGGATTAGCAGCAGACGAGGTCGGTTAGATGGAGACGGCTGGAGGTGTTGCAGGGCTGCTGACCCAGACAGAAGCAGCCGGATCATGCAGTGAACTACAATGTGTCTGTTGGAACAGCCAGGCGGTACAGCTTGCAGCAAAAGCATCGACGGCAAGGGCAGGGCCGCCAGTGTCGCGGCGGCAAAGACTTGCCAACGGTACACGCGCATGTGCAAGACTTGCTGAGGTGTTCGATATTTACGTTCTTAAGGTATACCCCACGGCGTCCTTCATGTTGGTCGTCTCTGGCCCCCACAAAAGCTCAGTGATGATGGTGGTGGGCAGCAGTGTAATTTGCGAGGCAAAAATCCAGAGATGGCTCATGTGGCATGCTGCAGTTGTTCGAAGCATTTATGTGTAAGCTTATACCCACACACGTCAAGAGTCTGTGCAAGGGGCTCACTGTCGCCGTGCAAAGTCCCGGACCACTGCACACCAAGGCTAGCTCAGCCCGGAAGGCAGTTTCCTTCTGCGCGCCCTGGTGAGCTCGCAAGAGGTCTCCTGCACGTGAAAACGGGCAGCAGTGGTGTCCGCGTTCGCTGCATGCACCGTGTTCTGGTGCCGTCGTCGTCTGCAGCTCCAGGAGCCATGCCCCACTTGCTGCACGTACCTTGATCGCGCAACACGCCTTGCCGGCGGCCTGGTGGCACCTCTCCTCCAGACGTTACCAGCCGCCAGCCGTGCGCTCGCGGGCGGCCCTGCGGCGCGCAGCCTTGCCAGGCGTGGCAGGGCCAGCTAGATCGGGATGGTGGCGCAGGCGCTCTACACGCTAAGCAAGGCTGACTTCGACCACTACTACAGTGAGGACCCCCTGCCAGTGCATGCAACGCCCCGCTTTGCATCCACGGCGGCCGTGGGGACAGCTGCGCTCGCGCTGCACCTCGCGCTGCACCTCGCGCCATCGCGCAGCGGCCGACACCTCGCCCTGTGTCTCACTTGCGCGTGTCCCCCCTGCGCGGCCCTCGCGCTGCCCCTTGTCCTGCCATCGCCTGCTCCCAGAGCTCTACTGCAATGCGTCGGGTGCGCAGCCAGGCATGCAGCCTGCTCCCTGGCGATTTGTGTGGTTGCTCCGCCCGTCCGAGGCCAAGCTTGGCTGGTGCTTGCTGAGCGATGCAGCTGCTCTGCTCGTGGCGCATGGGGGTAGCTTGCTGTTTCGCATGCGCGATGCCAAAAGCATGCAAGTGTGCGCCTTGGACATGCCAGCAAGGCACACTTGCATGGACCTGCCCTCACCATCATCCCCCACGGGCCTCTCAGAAACCAACTGACGCCATCTGCACCCACCAGACGTCTTCCCCCGCTCCCTCAACCCATGCTCCCCACCGGCAGGCCTGTCGCTGCCACCCAACTGGCAATGCCCCCTGGGTGGCGAAGCACCCCAGGGTGCCGCGGTGGACCTCTACCAGCTGTACCAGTCGATAGTGACCCGCGGCGGCATCGCCGCCGACGCGCCAGACCCGGATTGGCTCTCGCTCGCCCGCGCCGCCGCGCCGCCGCCGCCGCCTGCCGGCGCGGCACCGGCACCGGCGGGGGCGGCGGCGGCGGCGGCGGTGCGGCAGCTGTACCAGGCGCGCGTCCGAGGTTTCTTGGATTTCATGGCAGATCTGGTGCTACAATACGAGATCGCAAAGCGCGAGGGCGCGGCGCGCGCGGCGGCCCAGCAGGGCGCGCCCCGCGGGCAGTACGGGCACCGCCACCAGCGGCAGCGGGCCCCGCAGGCCCCCGCCGCACCCGCCGCCGCCGAGAATGGCAGCTGCGGGTATGCGGCCGAGAGCGGGTCCGACGTGCCGGCGCACGAGCAGCAGCAGCAGCAGCAGCAGCAACGGCAGCGTCCGGGCTCGTCCGGCCTTCACCACCTTGACAGCCGCCCGGCCAGCCAGCGCCCCGCCGGGCGCGGCGCGGCGCCCGCCGGCGGCAGGGGCGGCATCGTGCGCCTGGGGCAGCAGCAGGCCCAGCCGGCGCCGCGCCAGCAGCAGCGCCAGTCGTCGCTCGCGTCGCGGCCCGCCGCGCGGTCGCCGGCGCCCGAGGTGCCGGACCCGGTGCCTGGCGACCGCCTGCGCAGCGCGCTCGCCTGGGTGCGTGGGGCGTCGCTGGGGCTGGCCGAGAAGCCGTATGCTGACGTCACCGCCGTCAACGCGGCGCTGTGGCGCCGCTACCGCGGCGCGCTCGGGCGCGCCGCGGCGGCGTCGCGCGCGGCGCTGCCGCTGGAGCTGTACCCGCTTTTCGGCGCGGAGCCGCCGGCGGCGCCGCGGCGGAGCGGGCGGACGCGCGCGCAGGCGCAGGCGCGGGCCAGCACGCGCGGCTCAAGCGAGTGAGTCTCCCCCCCTTGCGCTGCTTAGTCTGGCCGCCGTGGTGGAGCTTGCACATTGATGCATAGCGTCACAGGCTCGTCCTCGAATCCTGCCGAGGCTTCCTGCTCTTGCCCAAAGCGCCGCACCTTCTTCAAACCCGCTCACGAGCCGGCCCCCGCCCTCCCGCCCGCTCCCGTGAAACGACCCAGGGAGGCGGACGCCGCCGCGGCAGCGCGCAGCGAACCCGAGGAGGAAGCGGAAAAGGCAGAGCTCGGGGTCATCCGCGTCGGCCCCCACGCGCAGGCGGAGCTGCCCGCCTGGGGCCCGCGCCCCGCCAGGCCCTCGGCCGCGGCGGCCGCGGCCGGGCCCGAGCTGCAGCGGCTCGCGTCGAAACCGCTCTACTCCCCAGGTCGCGACCGCGAGCCTCGAAGTGGCGGCGCAGCGGCCGCCGCCGCAGCAGCCGCAGCCGCAAAGGCAGGCAAGCGGGCGGCGGCCGGCGTTGAGGGCGTCGGGCGCTCCCTGGCCAAGGGCCGGACGTCGCTGCAGGCGTCGTACTCGGACTGGGCGGGCGTCATGGCGCGCCTGAGCAACGAGCAGCAGCGGCAGGACCTGCTGAGGGGGGCTCTGGCCCAGCTGGACGAGGAGATTGGGCCCGAGCTGGTGCAGGTGGGTGGGTGGGAAGGCGATGGGTCATACATTTGTTTGCTTGTAGGGGCTGCGCCGTTCGGCGTTGCTTGATAGGCTGCGCAAATGAGCGCCACGCGACTGAGCGCACCCGCAATGCACGTGGAGTAGAGGCGGGCAGGCGGCGCCCATACACCGCGTGGCCGTCCAACAGAAGTGTTTGCTCCACCTGTCTGTGTTTGCAAGTGTGGCCGCAACTGTGGCAACGTTCTGACGCCTTATTGCATACCACTCTTTCAACAGAGGCTGGGGCTCACCGAGCTGGGGTGCAAGCTACGCGCAGACTGGAGCGACGCTGACGAGGCGTCCTTCGCGCTGGGCATGCTGTGGCTGCGGCGCCCCAACAGGAGCGTCCAGCGGCGCTACCTGCCGCACAAGACGCTGCACCAACTGCAGGTGGGCGCGGGGCGCTCGAGGGCGCCGCATGGCGGGGGCTATTAGCCGCGCGGGCTGTGCGCTTCACAGCGTGCCGCTCGCCTGTCTGGGGGGGATGGCGCTGCGTAGTCTCTACTGGAAAGTTGGCACAGCTCCTCCTCCCCCCTCCCTTTCTCCCGTGCCTGCATCTGCCAAGCAAGCTCTGATCACATGCCCGCACTTGAAAGCATGCACGCTCACATGTTCATGCATGCATGCAGAGCCACAACACGTGCACACGCCCAACACACACACACACACATACAAAAGCACAACACACACACATACACCGCGCACACAAAACAACACACACACACACAACACCAACGCCAACAAGAAAACCTAGCACCCGCCGCCGACATCACCTTCCCCCACCCCAGTCCTATTACTACAACGTGTGGAAGCTGCGCGGCACCCAGCTGGCTGACCTGTATTATGAGATGGAGCCCTACCAGCGCAAGACAGCCACAGACCGCAAGCTAGAGCGCGCAGAGGCCGAGAAGCGGGCGGACGTGTACGAGGCGCGCGTGAACCAATTGCTGGAGGCAGCGCAGCTCAAGCAGAAGTTGGAGGCTAAGGCAAAGGCGCAGTCCGCGGCGGCCGCGGCCAAGGCAGCGGCGGCGGCGGTGGGCGGGGGCGGCCAAAAGGGGGACAAGGGGGCGGCCGCGGCCGGGAAGGCAGGCGGGAAGGCGGCGGCGGCGGTGGCGGGCGGCGAGAAGGGGGCGGCCGGCGGGGCGGCGGCGGGGTCGCGGAAAGCGGCGGGCGCGAAGCGGCCGGCAGAGGCGGCGGACGGCGGCGGCAAGGCCGGCCAGGCTGGCAGCAAAAAAGCCAGGACGGCTGCGGCTGCTGCACCGGTGGCGGCAGCAGAAGCGCCAGCAGCAGCGCCAGCAGCAGCTCCAGCGCCCGCGGCAGCGGCGAAGGCGGCGCCAAAAGCAGCGGCGGCTAAGGCGGCACCCAAGGCCGCGACGGCGTCCAAAGCTGCGGTGTCGAAAGCGGCCGCGCCCAAGAAGGGTGCGACGGATGCAGCAGCCGACGGCGCAGAAGGGGGCAAGCCGCCAAAGGCCGCCGCCAGCGGCACACGCAAGCCGAAGGGCACCGCCCCAGCGGCCGCGGCAGGGGCGGGGCCGGCGGCGGCGGCGGCGGGCGCAGCTGCGGCTGCGGGGCCGGCCGCAGCCAAGGGCAAGGCGCCGCCCACGCCCGCGCCCGCGCCCGACGCCCCGCTCGACGCCGGCGCAGCAGCCGACGCC